ACAGGTAGATTTTCCACATCAGTCTCTTAAAGCTTTCAGAAACAGTTTCAGAATTAACTGTTCTTTTTTTTTTTTTTTTTTAGACAGGGAATTTTTAAAAGTCCTGATCGTCATTGTGAATCTTGTCATTATTTTCATTTTTAACTCTATTATGAGCTTTCCAGCTCACGCTTTGGTGAGCCTTGCTGCAGAGCCTAAGTAAGAATCAACTTAACAGTTCTACTTAACAATGCTATTTTCTGGTGTTGCTTTTTATAGTTGCACTGTGTGTGTTCTATTGCTTTAATAAAAAGTGGACGACAAGTATAGATAGTGAGCGACTAGCTCTTCAGAATAAAAGTGAGAGTAGAAGGGTAAATGTAACTACGTAACCATACAGTAATTTTAACTCACTTTATTATCTCCCCATGTAAGAACAGCTGCTGCTGCCTTTTTTTTTTTTTTTTTCTTTTAATTCACAAAACATAGTTTTAAATAGTATGTATAACTACTCTTTGAAGTTTTTTTCCTTTACTTTTCTACATACTGGGAAATGAATGCCCTTAGCTCTGCTGTGGACAGAATGATTGAAATGAATGCCCTGCAGTTTAGGCCTGAGTGTAAATACCTTGTGTCCTGTCTAGCAAGAGCTACTCAGTGCAGCAGAAGGCACAAGAAACTCTACCATGTATTCTCATTGACGTAGTGAGCGCTTACGCTGAGAGAAAGCAAACAGGAATTCTGTTTGAAGTTAATCCCATTAATGTCTGAGGTGATAAGAGCCAGAATGCCCATGGATTGCTGTATTCCTTCTGCATTGTTCATACTCACAGAACATATAAACACAGGTATACTGAGTGCGTGGTTAGACATAAATAGAACGCCTCTGCTCAAACAGTCCAGGAAAATGGACCTACTCACATGGCATATTTTCTGCCAGTCTTCTTGAGTTGCTCTGGAAATATATTCTTACCAGACCTTTTGACAACTCACGCCTACACCCAGAGAACTCAGAGGATTAGGTATTGTCCCTAAAGGAGCACTGCTGCATCAGTACCTTGACAATGAGACATGGTACATATAAGGACATAAAAAATTCCCTCAGATGAGGTAGGCAATGTGTCCACAGCCTCTTCTAGTTAAAATCTCTTTATGGGACCAGTTCCAAAACTCACTTTCTGAGAGAAATGATATCCTACATGACCAAGAGATCTCGTATAGACAAAAAAACCCCCTTCACTGTAACTCCTTGACTTTCCATTTCTAAGTCCCCAGAATTTAGGGGTCACAGAACTCAGTTTCCCACTTTTAACATGGAGAAATTAAAGAGAAAATTAAATAACTGTGTATATGCAAGCTTGTTTGAGCTATCCTGAAGTTGCATTGCTAAAAGCAGCATTGATTGTAATGGATCTGTGTTCCAGAACAAGAACATACAGCATGACTTGTCAGCAGTTGTTGTTGCAGAATTAAACATTCCAGAAGCCCTCACTATAGTCTTTTCTTTGCTTAGTAGAATGTGAAATTTACACTCACCCTTGTGCCTCCACCTTTGATTTGTGCTTACCATGCATGTCTTTGAAGATGTAGTAATTTCCCAGCTCCTTCCTCTCAGAGTGTTTTCCTGTAGCTTGCATTGCTGTTTGTTTGAGCTGAGGTAGCACATTTTTGCTCTTTTTCTGCAGCCTTAAGAATTTTGGGAACCCTCATTTGCCATGTTTATAGGCTGCATGGTAAAGGCACATGTGTGTGCTGGGACTTCCACTGGTGATTCTCTGTTTCAGCAAAATGCTAGGAAGAAAGAGGATGCTTATTTTTCAGTGTGCTACAGGAAAATAGCTCTCATCTTTATTGTCTAATGATGTCATATTTAATGTAGGAATCTGAAGTATTATGTGCAGATATGAAGCAACTACAGTGTCTCTAAAAGCATCTGTGGAACGCTAGGATGGGTTTACATGTTTCTGAGATTCAGCTAAATGCAGAAGACTTTGTTGAATTGATCCATGAATTGGAACTATGCCTTTGTTTACCAGAATTTATTCTGTGATGCCAGTAGTTGTTACTAGCAGACAGTGATTCTTTAAAACTGTTGTATTTAAAGTGTACATTCTCCTCAGATTACTGAAACTGTAGGCACAGATTTGGGCAAGACAGGGATAAACCTGTTGGCTAAGGGGCTTGTGGAAGAGCCGTATGTTTTCTAATTAGCGTGCTGCTTGGATGAAATGATAAGCTAGGCCTGTTAGATATGATAATGTTTGAATGTCACTTCACAACGTCAGTTTATTGCCTTTCTGTAGTTTTGTGATGAAGAAAAATTGTTGTGTGGTTTGCATTACTCAACTGGGATAGAACCCTTTTGTTTTCACAGCCTTGAAAACAGAATTACTCCTTGCTCAAAGAAGGGACAGTTCAAAGGGGGAAAGCAGGCATAGAGGGGAAAGTGAACCTTCTCTGGGCACAACAGAGAAGAAGTTGTTTTTGCTCAGGATATGATGTACTGTCAAGTCTCTTATTTACTCGAACTTGGCCCTTCTTGCATAATATGATGTAACTTTTTCTTCAGTGCTGCTGATATGTAGTTGTTAAATTTGACCTGAATTTGCTGCTTCTACTAATTTACTCTATTAAGATTCAAGAACAAAAACAAAAGAATTGCAAGAAATGATCTTGTATTTCAGTGTAAGCTTTATGTGTTTATATGTATATTATGTTCGTTTGCTTGAAAGGCTTAGTCTAAAATAAACCCAGTACCAAAAGGATCATCATGTGTATTTTCAGAGCTGGCCAAATAGCCAGAAAACTTTGAACAAGCTTAACAAAATCCTGAAAGCTTTTTGTACTGGTCAAAGGAGGTCCACCTGAGTCTATTCGTTCCCAAAGTAGAGAAATTCAGAAAAGTGAAAGGGAAGGGATTTCCTTCTTCTAAAACCAGGATATTGGAACATTTCTGCAAACAGAGATATTTGTGGTGCATTGTTAGGCTACCTCAAGAGAACTGTGTTTGCTCTTCCAGCGTGCTAACCATTGCTTTCTTTTGTATTGTTTTCTACTTTTTGGCAGGATGGTCCCATTCCCAGCCTGCACTTACTACTACATACAGATTAAAATGCTTTTATGTTTTTGCTTTTTTGCAGAGCCAACTATAAACCTATTAAGCTCTGCATTGTATGACTTCTGTTATGCAGAGGTATCTAAGGCCCAAAAATACAGCTGTTGCTGTATGAACACACAAAGGTATACACTTGCCTCTACCTCACATTACAGACATGGAACACAAGTTTAAGATTAAACACATGCATTTTTTTTTTCTCTAGGTAATTCTTTCTAACTCTTTCCAAATAAGTATCAGCAATTCTTATTTGATTTCATTTATAAAATACCCTTTTTAGATATAACGTACAATGCAACAATGAACACCTAGGCTGAATAGGAGACTTAGATAGCAACGGATCTTTATTACATGGAAAGAAAAAAAAAGAGGATTTGCAGACGGCTCTGATTAACTAAAGATTTTGCAGATAATTCTGGAAGACTGAACTTTCACTCAGGTTTCAAAAGGGTCAGTATTTGCACATTTGGAAGGGTCATCCTGTCTACCTCAGTATGCACCTGCTTTAAGAAAGAGCAGCAGCCTGGCTGAAAAAAGGTCTCTCTGTTGATCAGAGAGGTGACTGCTTTAGCCTTGACTCATGAGTTCTAGGTGGATTGTGTTAAGCAGGTTGAATTCCACCTGGTCTACTTTGGGCTTGACTGTAGTTAAAATTAAGTATGAGGACTCTGAAAGTAATGTCTCCTGTATTATTATTACGTTGGGCCATGATGTCAGAGGTGGATATTGGTGCTATGACAGTAGAGATTGAAACTTCCCACCAGTATTCTGTTACATACATGCTGTGTGACAGGTGGCAGCATTGGGGCGGTTTGATGAGATGATGTCTGACATGGAAGTGCGTATGAAGCAGAGGTGTGGAAATTGTATTCCTCTATGTGGAAAAAATTGCACCCACTGACATTCGTCAATGCTTGTTGGATACTTCTGGAGATCAAACAAAGAATGTGAGCACAGTGAGATGGTGGGTGGTGTGCTTCAGCAAAGGTAACACTGGCAGTGAGGCAGATTTTTACAAGTGTGCCATGCAGGATGTTGTTCATTGCTGGTGAAAATGCATAGCTAATGGTGGTGGCTGTGTTGAGAAACAGCGTTTTGTGGCTGGAAATTTACTCTGTGAAATAGTGTTCTTGTGCTCTTTGTGTCTGTTGTAGTTTCCGTGAGAATAAATAGCAGGCACTACTTTAGGAGCAACCTATGTAAGTCATCGTAGTTATTTTTCTGTGAGAGGTCCTTTGTCAATCAGATTGACTATTCCTCACGTCTCATTTTTCGTATTACAAAGCAGTTGAAAATGCAGTGAGAACAAGAATCAAGAGGAATGGTAATACTCAGTCTGTGTAAATCCTTAGCTTTGTAGAGGGCTCCTTAAAGCCCTCTAAAGGACTGCAAACCCAGCTTATCACAGAATCACATAAATGCTTTTTTAGAGTAGATGTTGTGCTTTGAAAACTCACCTGTAATGGCTTGGCTTTGAACGCATGAACACAAGTGTCTTCCTAGCGTGTAGTTGTTGGCCTCTTGTGTTTTGTAAAGGAAAGTACTTCAACATAGTGATCAAACTTTAAGGAAAGCATTAATACAACAAAACTCTACATGTAACTCATGTTCCGGCTCATTAACAAGAGAAATGTACTGGTAAAGCCAATTTAGCTGAGCTTCCTACCTCTTGTAAAGTACTGCAGTGTATAAACTTATCTAGGTTCTTGCTGACATCAAGTGTTGAGGGATCGGTTTTGAGTGGTGCTGTTCATCTGTTTTGTTTTGTTTTGTTTTATAGCTCAGCTGTTTGGAGATACAGCAAAACCTAGAATAGTTCTTGACTGACCTCAAGCTATGTGTCAAAAAAAAAAAAAGCACTTTCTGAAATGTGTGGTGTTTTATTGTTCTATTGTGCCTTCTGCAGAGTGGCAAAAGTAATGAAGGTTCCTGTGTATGAAACACCAACAGGATGGAGATATTTTTCCAATCTCATGGATTCTGGACGTTGCTCACTCTGTGGGGAGGAAAGCTTTGGCACTGGTAAGCAGTACGCAATCAGACATTTCTGGAGACTTTTAATGACATTAATTTTCCTAGGTACATCAAGTCAAAGCCAAAAAATAATAATAATAAAAAATTCAGCAAATTATCTTGTGCTTGAATAAAGGACTGTCAGCTTTTCATATTTTAGGAGTCTGGTAGTAGTTGCCATGTGAAAGATGGCGATCTTCTTGCTGTTCTACAGCCTTCAAAGGCATCTGCCACCATATTCTGACTTGAATGTTATGTGGAAGGATGTCTCCAGTTCCACTGTAATAGTATTTTTTATGGACCGCAATGGCATTTTGAGGGATTTTGCCTGTATTTGCAAACTATTGTTTTGCAGACTATTGTTTTTCCCAACATGAATCAGTGTACAAAGTGAGGATTGTTATGTCTAATCAAACCTGTTATGTGCATCCCTTTTTTAGAACATTACGAACACTGGAAAGCCAGACAGTGATAAAGTCATCACTAGAATAAATTCAGCTGAATATCAACACCTGTTCTCCCCTAAGTATTTCTCCCTTATCTGTTGCAAGAACCAAACAACAGAATGCAGAAAGATAAATCTGAGCTGCCCTCATTCAGAGCAAACCGGTAGCTTATGCTCTACAAAACTGAACAAATTTGATATTGTAGAATGAGAAAAACTGAACGCATTTTACAGTGCTTCTTTTTTTCTTTCCTGGATTCTGGAACATAATTTATTTATTCTTTATGCTTTTTATTACTGTGGTTGTGATATGGGCATTTTTAAATAATTGCATATCAGAATAACTTAACATATTGCACGGTTAACAATACATTGCATATTTTGATGCAAATTCCATGAAGTTTGATTTTGTGTGTGTGTGTAATTCCTTGACTGCAGCTTTTCATAGAAAATTATTTATTGTGCAGTGAAATCTGATTAGAAATTTCTTATTGCTTTGATTTAGTTAACTCTGGAACTAAGTTACCATTAGCTCAATTAGGCCAGAATGCTGCTTGTTTAAAAATGAGGATATCTTTAAGCCATACACATACCACTTTAATATAGCCGCTCATTAAATCCAAGAATACATTACTTTTCTTTGGATGTCTGTAATAATGAGTAAAGAATGTGTGTTTTGCTTTCTGTTCTGATTGTGAAACACTGTCCCACTACTAACACCCTGGTTGCCTTGGCTTCACTGCGGTGTCTGCCACAGTATGGTACTGCCTTGGATAGGTTTTTTTCTAAGGGTTTTCTGCAAGGTCATAGAATGACAGTTTTAGCTTGGGAAGGGGGACATTTTCAGAAGATCTTGTACCTTTCAGAACATACTGTCATTTGTGCCTAACATGCGTTAGGCTGCATCTCTGTTTGTGAGAGGTCTGAACCAGAGGGGAGGTTTTTGATGCTTTTTCACTACATCGGTTCTTCACTTCTCTCTGGATATTAAAGTTTCTCTTGTGGTTATTTCCATGAAAGTTAGCCCTTGAGACATCAGCATATGTTATTAACACCTAAATTATTTGATAATGAGCAACCCTGTTTTCACTGTCACGCTGTAGGAAGGGGAAAATGTGATTTGTGATTGGATTTAGCCTGTGAGAGTTTGATGGTGAGCTCCCACAGACTGAACTACATCTGGATGCTCTAGCCTACTGAGTGTAGTGTGTCCTACTGCATGAAAAAGACCAAATAACAAATTTCCCTGGCACCTTGAAAAGATATGACCTGTATCCATGTGCATGCTCAGGTCTTCCTCAGTATCAGCTATACTGATCTGCAGATCAGCCATATCAAGAGATCAAGCGAAAAGGTTTCTGAGCTTGGCCTTCTGAAACACTGAAGATGTTGTGATTTGTGTTGACCTTATTTCTTTATTAACCAAAGTAGCAGATGCTTGTTGGAGTGGAGGAAGATGGACTATTAGAGATAAAGGAAGAGCCTGTGGAGTTTGCCTGTTCCTGAAAGTAGGCAACTGTAACTCCTCTCTCCACCTGCCCTAAACTTTTTCCCATTACTTCCATCTGACTGTAAAGTCCTAAACTAATAGTATTTTGTACTGTAGCCTCTATTCTGATCGTGTAGCTCTCATCTCCTGACTTCATACCCATCTCTGCATTCCTAGCACCCTCTGTATTCCTGTTTTAATCTGATTCTCCTATCCCGTTATTAATTCTTCATATTTCCAGTAAATTCTGTCTCTTGTGAGTTGTAATGGTGCTTGAGCAACATGTTCATGGACAATGTGGAGAGCTGTTCTTACAGGAACACAGGACATGTGCATCTTAGTCCACTCTGATCAGCTTCCTAGTACCTAGAGAATTTCATTGGCAGTTCAGAAAGCCACTTGGCCTCTCATTTTTGACAGTGCCATCTGAACAGTAGTATAAACTGTTGAGATTCCAGCCTATTGGCATGCAGACCACTGGGAGCATTGGGCCAGTGTGTAGGTAGTTTTTGTGTAAATTAATAGTGGCAGAGCCTAGAGGGCAATTACAATGATATCTAAGGTTTGTTTTTCTCTTTGCCTCAATTTTCTAATCATCTTTCAGTTCTGTGCAGCTGTCTGGAAAAACCACATTTGCCAGGATGTTTATTACTAAAACATAGGCCGGTGTGTAGATGACCAATACTTTAGCAATGTGAGCTGTTTTAAGCAATAAATATTTACCTTATTGTGAACCTTTTGATAATGTCCTAAGAGTTGCATGACCTTCACAAGTTTCTGCCAGTATTGGGCATTTGAGTAAATTTTACATCTCTCATCTCTGTCACAGCTATTTAGGGAAGTGAAATGACACATCTTAGTTTTCAGTGCAGAAGTTTTCAAGAAATATATCATATAGCAGATCAGAGCATGAAAATCATTGTTCTGTGCAAGAGAATGGGGATTTACATATCTATATTATACTGTCAAACTAACCATGCAGCACAGGAGACTGATTGGTTGTATACTTAGGTAATCCAGCCCAGCTGGAATTTCCAAACAGTACAGAGCCTTAGTTTTATAATATAAGGGATTTTGTACTGGCAAATAAATAAAAGCAAATATTCTGCTATAAAAGGACAAAAGATTTTGAAAACATCCCTAGTGCTGCGTTTCCCAGACTTGTTTTCTGGCAGCTGATCTTGGAGCTCAACCAGTACTTTAAAATCTTCTTCCATTTTTGTAGTCGTGTGGAGAGCTTGTCAGATGAGGTTAGTAGCTTTCTGGTTCTATGACTAATGCTGAGGACACAGTTCAGAGAAGGGCATCTGCAGCAGCAATTAGTTTCTAAATTTCATCAGCAAAGAATTAATCAGGATTCAGAGAGCAGTGTGGTTGATTTATCTTTCTGCAGTTTAAGCCATCAATCAGTAATTGATGCATCTTTCATAAACTTGCATGTTCCATCTCCAAATTTCCAGATGCCATTAACAACAACTGCTTTCTCCTGCAAGATTATGTGTAAGAAGAACTAGTAGAGAATACAAAGATGTTCTGGTGCTGAAAATAATGAAAGCCTTTAAAAAGCTGTATGGTCTTATCTGTTACAGTAATACAGGACTCCATTTGCCCAAAATATCACCAAGATTCAAATCACTGAAGGATAATTTTGTAAGGCTCAAACTGTGTGCAGACAAAATGTTCTACTGTGAGTTTATATACATGCTTCAGTCTCACATTTGTTTTAAAATTTCATTAGAGAGGGCAATATGCTAGACAGAATTGGCTAATTTAGGGAAAAGCAATTACATTTTCCTCTTATATATGATCCTCAAGGCTCACTGTCTATCAAAATTGGAACTCTTCTCAGATAAAGAATAAATGAGACATATAAAAGAAAGCCCGCATGCCCAACAGCTTGACAATGTCAGAAAAAAAGTAATCATGCAAACATTTTTTCATGATTTTCCTTGTTTCTCAGGCTACTGACTCTCAAGACTACTTCAGTTTAAGCCTGTCTGTGTACTTTCTTGTGAATGGGAATGTGCTCTAACAGTTTTTCCCAGTGTTTACTCTGAGTCTGCCCATAGCAATTAACTGTTGCAGTAGTATAAAATAACTTCTGTTGTTATTATTATATTGAGAAATATATGGCAAACTAACTTAAAAATAAGCTGTCAGAGTACTTGCTGTTATTGTAATTTTCCTTACCAATGGCAAATTAAATACAGTGACATAATTAGAAAAACGTTTGTTGACTCCGCTGTTCTTTTCTGTTTTGTCTCCTTACTGGCTGGAATTCATTAATGCTATATATTTTTCAATCAGAAGTACCAATGAGAATTATCCTGAGATTGCTGAGTGCCCTCAGCAAGACAGAATGACCGGTAGTACTACAGTCTCAGGAATTGTGAAGCACCTTTTATTTGATCACTTTGCACAAACTGCCTCTGCAGATTCACAACAACAGATATTAGGTATATGAACTGGAGGACGATACTGTTAACAGAGCTGGTAGAACTAGCTCCCTGCCTTGTGTTTCTGGCATGTGAGCTGGACAGTAAAAGGGAGAGAAGAAGTGAAGACACCTACAAAGATAAAACAAGTGAAAACCAGAGTTCACTAACAGAGTTGCAGTAGTGGATTTTGATTTACTAAAAAGAAATGACAGCAGTAAATTTGCACATATGTGCAAATAGTAGCTCAACTAGTAGATCAGCTGGTAAAATAAGAGGTGGAATAAATAGGTTCTGAGAAATTCCCATTGTCATTTTTCCTTCTAATAAGAATAATGAATCAAGACATTTCTTCGGAACAAGGTTATTGTTATTGTTAGGCTAGTGTTTTTAATCACTGATTTTTTTTAATTCTGAAATGGTTGGGTTGTTTACAGGTTACAGACTTTTGCCTCTGGGTTGCTTTCTTCATATCCTTTTCTTTCCAGAGGAACAACAATCTTTGTGTCATCATGAAGGACACACAAGGACACAACACGTGCCAAAGCTGCTAAATGGATCAGAAGAATGTTACGTGTGTACACTCATCCCTCTTCACAGAGATTTATAAGCTTAAGCCATGCCAAAACAAGGCTCAGAGACCTTTCCAAAAATTCTTATGTCCATGTTTCACTGGACCAGTTTGATCCAGTGAAACATACTCAAACTGTTTGTGAAATCAAAATGCTTATTTTCTTCGGTGCTAAGTTTAGACCTTTGCACACATGTCAAGATGTATTGGCAATTTTGCTGACACTTTGGTGTGCCTTTCACTGTGTGATTTGATGGCTTGCAGTCTGCAGCGTGTTGCACAATGGGAAAGTAAATGATCACTTACTTTGAAACAAGGCACTGGAGTGTTTATCTCTACCGTATCTCCACTTGCTGATTGTGTCCGTTGAGCAGATTAAGCAATTTAAGCTGTGGTTAATATCAGCAATAGAGATGACTTTCAAGCAGAATTAACTTTTCCTGTGCTAAGAATGAATATGTAAAAGAAGAACCAGGAAGGATAAGAAAAAAGGGAATGCATAGCATTCCCAATCTCCTCCATCCTGCCCAGGACCCCCCATCAGCTCCTGTTCCCAAAACAACTCAGCAGTGCCAGGCTGCATTTCCATACCCTTTTGTCCTTCCCAGCAGTCAGGACACTCAGAAAGTCCCCCTGCAGCTGTGCTGGCCTAACAACTTTTCCTGCTGTTACCAGAGGAATGACAAGTGCAGGTGGGAGGTGACAGCCCTCTTCTACATCCTCCTTTTAATGGCAGTGCAGAAACTGCACTGGCAGCGTTTCTAGGAACAAACTCTTGTCTATATAAAAGATAGGATCGTGCCATCTGCTTTGCATATGAGCAAAGCTGATTTTGTTATCTGTAGACCAGATTGTTGGTATTTCTGCACAAGGGATCCTTCAGTTGATCTACTGTGTTATTGCAAAGAGAGAGTAGAAAAGGTGAGGATCTGATTATCTGAAGGGCTGAGTTCCTGTTTGGGGACATTTGTTTTCATTTTTTTTTTTTTGATCTGAAGCTATTTGCAAAGCTCCAAGGGCTCAAGTAACCCTGCCCTTTTTCTTGTGATCAAGCAGCACTACATGCTTTGATAGCATCTGGAGGCTCTGAACCAGGGAACAAAGTAAGCTCTTGGAGTTTTTATAGCAGCTGCTAGGGGACTAGGCTATAGCTCTAGGCACTGTATTAGTAGACTGTCCTTGTTGGGAACAGTTCACAGACTGCAGGTCAAGGCAGATCAAAATTGGCAGAAAGACAGTATTCTCAGTATCATGACAGCTACTTTGCAAACATGAAGGAACATCGCTGTGTGTCTCAGTTCTTAAATCCATTTGAGCTATTCAGTGTCCTAGTTTTCTACAGAGCCCAACTCATAGACTCAAGCATAAACTCCATATATCTTTTTTTTCTTGTGCTTCCTAGAAACATTTTTCCCCTTTACAACTTTTTTGTAATCGTTTTTATGCAGTTCTGGTATTGTGCTGAATTAGTAATTTACACATAGTTAACTCCGTCGTAATTTTTTTTAAATGTTAGATTCAGGAGGGATGGGAGTCTATACCTCTGGGGCTGAATGAAAGCCAAGGAGTCTAAGCTACAAGCAGAGCTGTGAAAATCCCAGGTCGATGGGCACTTAGCAAATTTGTGTGAATAGCAGCTGCTACCTTGACTTGCTGCTCTCTGTCAAAAAGATGGACTGCAAGTCAAAGGCAGCAACGGTAACTGAAGGATGGATGTCAAGAGTTAACCCCAGAAATCACAGTTGCTCCAGGCATATCTTACTGTTTTCCTTATGTCTTTAATTTTCTCTTGACAATTTTTCGCAAGATTAACAGCTTCAATTTATATAACAAAAAACCAGATCCTTTGCCAGTAGGAAAACACAGCCATTTTTGACAAAATGTGTGTACAGAACTTACAGGCTATTATATAAAACTGCTGCAAAGCAGACTTGGTGCAGCAGAATTTTTATATTTGATGATGGAGAATATATCATGCAACAGATTTTGAAACAAAAACCTTTCTGATTTCTCTGAGAATTTTCTGCTGAGTAATTTCTAGAGACACAGTCAAACTATTGATCAGTAATTCATGAGGGGAAAAAAAAAATTGTGATTTAATGTACCTTGTACCCAGGTTTTCTACAGTGTAAGAACAGAAAATGATAACTAAATGCAACTAAAAAACTTGAATCAAATCTGGTGTTTCACATATCAAGGCTCTTGAGTCTATTACCTGAAGTAGTCATCTTCCAGTATCTGCTAAGTCCAGCATCCTGGATCTTGCTTTCTATTGATTTTCGGAAATGTTCACCTAGATTAGGTGCAGATTGCCACAGAAACTTGTTGTAAATTATCCAAAAGGAGGGGGTGCTTGCTGACATGGCCATGACCTTTTCTATGTAATACTCTTTGGTTACGAAATTATAATTTTATTGAAACTTTTTGCTTTTTGACACATTACTGTTTTGACAGACAGAGTTTACTTTCATAGAAATGTTTCTGGTCAAGATAAGTGATATGGCTACAGCAAAGCAGCTCGTTACTCCAAGTTTCCTTTTGGTTTTGTATGTGGAAACTAGCAGTTCAAGTCCATGTTATTTGAATTCAAATAGTAGACTCGAATTTGTGTCCTGTATCCTTGAATGTGTCCTAAATCCCATGGGATTTTCAAAAATTATTCTTAGGTTTTTTTGTATTAATTTGTCATAAATATGAAACTAGGAAGGAATTTAGATCTGAGCATTCAAACGTTTTTATCTCTGAAAACTAAGGAGGAAGTCAGACAGGGAAAAAAGTTTTCTTTGCTTTTTTTTTTCCTCCAGAAGCTATTTATCATGTTTTTTTTGTTTGTTTGTTTGTTTTTTGTTGTTGTTGTTTTTTTGTTTTTTTTTTTAACGTATATATATATTTATTTATTTGACCTGATGTAAGATTATAAATATTCTGGAAATTCTAGAAGGGAGATGCTCTTGAACTTGACTCACATAACACAGAACACTGGCCAGGAGTCTGGGTATCTTGCCCAGTTTGGGGAGACAGTACCAGAAGTGTGGAAATAACCTGTATGTATAACGATTAATGATTATAATGATTATAATGATACTGCTACCACTTCAATCCAAGTACTCATGTATATTTTTTATTTAATGTTAGGAGTATAGACTTTGTCATATGTAAAAGTAAATTCTGGTTATCACTCTGGGAGCTACCATAGTTGCGGAAGCTCGTACCTTCCTGGTTACTGTTATGTGATGTACAAGTTAAGTGGGACATTTGCCCAGCCTCCTCAGCTTGTTTTCTTATACACAGTGGTATCAAATAATGTGCTTTACATATCTCTCTTTAGGGTCTGATCACCTTCGAGAGAAAGATGGACTATGGGCTGTTCTAGTTTGGCTTTCAATCCTAGCAGCTCGAAAGCAGAGCGTAGAAGAAATTGTCAGGGATCACTGGGCAAAGTTTGGTCGACACTACTACTGCAGGTGAGAAAAATGAAGAAAAGGTACAGAAACTTATGCAGTCAGTGGGTCAATTCTGCTGCAAACAAGGCTTGACTACCTGCACTCAGCTACATTTAGATGTGTGTTTCATATGTCCACGTAATGAAAATCTGCTACAGATTGCCACTGTAATGGGCAGTTTTTATCAGTTGAGTAAGCAGACTGTATTCACTGAAGGAGCTGTGCATATATGTCACTTCCAGTATGTTAGATGTGGAATCTCTGGGTGCAGTTGGTTACAAGGTGTTGAAAAATGTCAAAATCTCAGCAAGTGTACTCATGAACTTCTTTCTCCATGCTTCTTCATGAAAATGCTTTTGTGAAAACTGATTTTATGCTTACTTTGAACTCAGGAGAACTCCTCTGAAGATTCATACGTTTACTTGTTTTTATTAATGTCTCAGAAGGGTGAATTCTAATTGGCGTTCACATAACACAGATCTTACCTTAGCCTCTCTCTCTCTCTCTTTCTTTCAGAATAGATTTAATTCAGATGAGTAAGTATAATCATGGAGGAGCACAGCTGTTCCTCAAAACTTGCAGCAAAGTTTCTTCTATTTTATTTTCTTCAGAGCACTGCGCTGATTGTGTCCTTGATTTCAGAATGCTGTCTATGCTGGGTTTAGTCTTCAGAAGAGGAGGCTCAGGGGGGACCTTACTGCTCTATATAACTAACTACTGAAAGGAGGTTGTGGTGAGATGGGAGACAGCCTCATCTCCTGGGTAACTAGTGATAGGATTGGCCTCAAGTTGCTCCAGGGAAACTTCAGGTTGGATATTAGGAAAAACAATTCTGGAAGAGTGGTCAGGCATTGGAATGGGCTGCCAATGGAGATGTCACTGTCGCTGTCCCTGTAGGTGTTCAAGAAGTGCTTACATGTTGCACTAAGGGACATGGTTTAGTAGGGAAATATTGGTGGTGGGTGAATGTTTGGACAGATGATCTTAGAGGTCTTTTCCAACCTTAGTAATTCTATAGTTCTATGGTGATTTTATGATGTTTTCTGTGCTACTTAAGATACAATGTATTTTCCAAGTGGTTTCTATTGCCTCTAGAATTAGGTGGCCAGAATAGAACTGTGGTGTATATATCAGATGGGCAGATTGCATAGGACTGCGTGCATGCACTGGTTTAATTTGCAATCAGTACTGCAGTAGTATACTGTCAATTTTTCGAAGTAAGCAATGAATTGCTAATTGTGTGTATATTGAGAACTGAGAAAAAAGAATTGTCGTCTAAGCTGTGGTGGACTTACTTTTTATTTCTACTTTTTTATATGCATGCAAGGTTTGATTATGAAGCATTGGAACCCAGAACTGCGTATTTCATAATGAGAGACCTGGAAACTTTGATCACTGACAAGTCATTCAGCCACCAGCAGTTTGCTGTGGGCAGCAGTATCTACAGTGTGGAAAGAACAGACAGCTTTGAGTACATAGATCCTGTGGATGGCACTGTGACCAAAAGACAGGTATGGCTGTGGTGGTAAAGCAGCAAAGTTTCGCAGCTTTCAACATATCTCTTAAAACATTTCTGGCATTCAGCTGAAAGCCTTACCATTTATTTATAGACATTTTTTTTATTTGCACTGATAGATACCGCATTTCCTACTTAAGATTTTCTCAGACTGGATAAGATAATCCACCTCTGGTTCGGCTTGCACTTGCTGTGCATAAATGGACTGTAGTGTTATAGAGAAGGTAGGCAGAGATGGGGTCCCTGCTGCCAGCAAAGCAGATACAGAGAGACCCACTTCCTGAAAAATGCAAGGTATCATGTAGAAAGGCAGCGTTTGCTTTTTCTGTTTTCTGTCTGAAACTTACAATTGCTATACATCACATAAAAAAGGTCAAATTTTCTTGCTTTTGTTATTCGCATAATTAAGGTATGTTATTCCCTTGTTGCCAACAGCATACAGAAGACTTAAACAGATTGTTCCATATCGGGGCATGTTTGGCTTCTCTAGCCAAAATAACTGCTCGGTGTTCCTTTTGGGCAGACTATGTCAATATTAAGATCTTTTAGCTATCAAGTTCTGCAACTCAAATTGAGCCTTTTGTGTTCCATGACAAACACAAAAGCAGACATGTACTTTTGCCTGGTGTAGGTGTATATCAAAACATTTTGAATATGAGCTGTGACTCATATTTAAATGTATTCTGATTTTATGCTGCTTATTCTTGTTGTCTTTGTTTGTGAAGTTTGTAAACTGCTTGACCTGATCAGACTCTATCAAGTGGTATTATGAGCCATTAAAACAATTGTCACTCCATTCTGTGCAGTACCTTTGTAGTTTCCATTCATCACTGCATCCAGATGATATAAGCAGCCCACTTGGCACTGAATTACTGTCCTTGTACATATTGCTGCTGAAACAAGGTACAAGGATATTGTCATATCCAAATCCACTGGAAAATTACAGGCATGACAGGCTTGTGACTCTTGTCCTTAAAAAAAAAAAAAAAAGTAAACTTTTAGTGTACTTTCCCTTTCTTTTCATCCAAAGCTGTTTCCTAAATTGGAGTACAACTGCTGATCACGTCACCATGTAATACAGAGAAGCACGACTTACCGTGTTTTTAAATGGACTTTGAAATGGAGAGCATGTCTTTTCATAGGCAAAAGTACTCCTTTGGTGAGAATACAATTCAATCTGTTTGTTTTCTGACAAGCTTACATTCCTGGCTCTGTGTGTTTGCAGCCTTGGTGGAATTCGCCAAGCATAATAAAATAAGAAATGACATTAATCCATGGAAATAAGCAACAGTTCACTGCTGCCATTTTCCTCATGTGTTATGCTCTTTGTGCAAATGCAGGTGCCTCTTTGTGACTGTCATGAGTTTTTTTCCAGCTAGGTTGTCTGGAACCTTTTATTCCTCAGTGGAAAGTGGATAGAAATTTGTACTCAATGTATCTGAACTGCTTCTACTGAACTACAGCTAAATCAGTGTTAATAAACTGCAGAAAACAAACACAATAACAAAACAGATATATAGCAGTACAAGCAGGCTGTACTCTAATTTATTCTGAAACAAACACATAAATATTGTTTATCATCAGTAAGATATCAGTAAGATATAAAGTCCAGTAATAAGATATAAAGTTAAATGAAACATGTTGCTGTTCCTGTAAATTGTGCTGGTATATTTGTGCTGATAATTGTGCTGAAAATAGCCCATAACATACTGAACAAGTTACCAACTAAAATGTTGGACTCTTTCATAAAGATTTGTCATATTCAGAGATTTGCAGAATAAAACTCCCAGTGGTTGTCATTTAGACTTTCTTAATGTTGTCTTGCTCCTTTGTTAGATGTAGGCTGTAAAATTCTCTGTGTGTAGTCTCATGTTTTTTGGGGGGCTGTTCTGAAAGTTATTTCATATGACCCTCCAGAGATAAGGAAAAAAACTATTCTCTGTTCAGAGTGACATTTTAGTCCCATGTCAACAATAGCATATTTCTTGTCAGAGTAGCCAGAATGGCCTCCTATGCCCCGGTGGTGTTCAAGGGTTCACAGCTGAGCAAATAAAAATTATGATAACCACAGTGTTTTGAAGAAAGATAGCTGTTCTGCATGCTTCTAATTTATGTATGTGTCTGTTAGATCTACTGCTACTAAACCAGATTTTCTGCTGGTGTTACACTCTACCATTTAATAACAGTTTTCAAAATCTTAAGTAATTTTTTTTTTTTTAATTTGCTACTTAGTCTTGTTCATCCTAATTTACTATGCTAATTCTCACTTGTTTAATCATGAAATTGCTAACTGAAAAAATAGTGAAACCTCTGGAGGTGAAATTACACAATGAGTATTACAATGAGTATTAAGTTTTGTCTTCTGAACACTTCAGAGATCTTAGTGTATCAGTAAACTGCTTCACTGGATTATAGTGAAAAGTAGAGAAATCCTTGTGAAGCTTTCCCTTTGTCACACTGGCTTCAAAGCCAGCAGGTTAACCAGTGACAAGGTCATTTTGTTTCAAAATTTCCACACGACTAATTAATGTCCATGAGCAGGCCTGATTTGCCTAACGTAAGTATCTGCGGATGTCCATTGTCAGAGCTGTACTGAAGGTTTTCATTTGCTTCCTTTTGGAAAAAAGATTTACCAGTTTCCATAATAAAACATGTTTGTGACAAAGAGTGCGCCCCATGTTATTAAAACTGGAACTTCTGTACTGTGGAGTTTCCAGCTTGTTGTTCTTCACTGTGTTTTCCTTAAGTCAGTTTATTAATTCTGCTTATAAAATTCTGTTCTGTGCACTTTCATGGAGCTGACATTTTTTATATAATAAATAGCAAGTACATGGCTTTAAATTAATTGAGCTTATCTCGGGTGAAAAAACACCAGCATGTCTAACAGTAAGTAGGCTGCTTTCCGTTTCACCAACTTGCTTTGACAACAGTGATCACAACAGCTAAAAAATGCTAAAAAGGAATATTTAATATGTTAAACTGTGTAGTAGTGAGCAGGGATAAACTTTTTGACTTTGTCTTCACCTAAGTGCAGACCTGTACGTTATTTGACAGGTAATGTTTCTTCATAGTTATTTGGGAACAGTGTTTTTGGTTGTTTTTCCTCTGGTTTTAACAAGTGTAACCTACAGCTTTATGGTATAAGTTTCAGAAAATGTTAAGAAATGTAAGTACATAATAGTTCTCATTAAATTCTGTTGCCTTCCAGAGTAAAAAAGTGTTGCCAGTTTTGAAATGGCTGTTTTCAGTGGAGAGTCTAAAGGCAGATTTTTGCTGTTGAGCTCTGTGCCAAAAATGACTTATGCTCTAGCTCCAGGTGCAGGAGTGACACAAAAGTTGACTTTGACAGTCCAACTGTGAAGGCCGCTGTTTCCTTAGCACATAATTTCTCCCTGGCACTCCAGAGGTAGTTGTTTTTAATGAGTACAGTCACTGCATCTCTATAATTCCCTTTTTTTGTTCCAGAGACCATGGTTTAATCAGTGGCGAGATTCTACTGAGGTTCTGAGAGAAGCAACAGTGTACAGTTGTTATTCTTCCCAGATAGACAGAATACGTAGAGGAGTGTTCAAGTTTTGTCATTGTGGAGTTAGCTTGAGCTAGCAGGGACATGCAAAATGTCCATGTAGCCTTTAGGTAGGAGGACATTCACATGCTCTTTATGTTTGTGATTTAGTTTTGCACAAGCATGTTAAGCTTCCTTCCTTCTCACTTTGAGCTGCTTGACATGAATGTTACATATTATGAGCTTCTGGTTGTAGGTTTGACAACTATTCAAAATGAACTACACCTAGAGCTATCTGTTTTTCATTTTGCTGTCGTAAAGTTGGAAGTAATTAGCAATCAGCAAGAGACAACTCCTTGTTCAGAGGATGAGATCATAACAAACTGACTATATACTTTTTGCTGTCCAAGCTAAAATTCCATTGATGGCAGAACTTCCACTAACATCATGCGAACCAACCCATTAATAAGTTGGCTTAATAGCAAACATTAGAAAAAAAGGCTCTGAAGCTTATCCTGCTGAATATAAAATATTTCTAATTACAAAACATGCTTTTCATGTTGAAAATACTGGATGAATTTATGTTACCATTGTGTATGTGTTAAAACTAATGTGCAGGAAAATAATGCCTCCTATTTATTTCCATGGAAGCTGCAACAAATACAAAGTGCATAATAACACTATTTGATAGAGCAAATTCTCAGTTATAAAACACCATTTTTAAACACAGTCACCACCATTAGCTAAGCATTTCTGCCAGTGATGAGCAGGAGGCTGCATGCTGTGCTTGTAAAAATCTGCATGGCCATTTAAATGTGGCCTGTGTTTCATGTCACAGTCACCATTGCTGAAATGCACCACCCGCTGCCTTTCTCTGCTCACATCCACTGTTTGGTCTCCATAAGTATTTGGCAAGCATTGCTGAATGTCAGTAGATGCCATTTTTTCCTCATGCAGGAATTCTATGAGACACATTTGTGTCACACACACTTCCATGTCCAACCAAAGCCATAGGTGGATAATATCTCTTAGGCCATCTGACTCATGACTTTTACCCATATGCTATGCTTTCGTGTTACATATTTCTTTGTGTTGATGGACAGTATCATCCAGACACTGTTGAAAATACTCTGACATACACCTGACCAAAGGCTTTTTGCACTTTTATTTTATTATGGGGGAGCACGGTGTTCCTTACCAGGCTGCTGATAAAGATAAAAGAATGAAATACTTCTCTCTTTAGTTCTCCCGTTTTTAAATGCCTTACTGCAACTTCAACAAAATTAGCAATGATCTCAGTTTATGCACTCATTTGCCAATAGCAGAACTAAAATGGAAAAGAGAAGTTCATTGGCAGAACAGAGGTAGTGTTTAACCTAGGGGTACCATTTACAGAAAAGAAACAAGAACATGTATTAGTGCAAAACTGGTAGATAATGAAAACAGTGCAACTGTTTAACTGTTCAGTTTAGTGCTTTGTTTTAATAGGAACAAATTTACCTGTCTGCCCTTCTTGCTTACCTTATGTCATCCCTGTACAGAGAGACTGTTGACTAAGGATCCAGTACATGGCCTGTGGAAGAATGTGGAAGAATATATATGTGTTCATATATACAGTATGAAAGCAGGAAGGGTAATAAAGAGAGATGGAAGCTGAAGTAAATTCCTACTTAATTAATAATAAGTCTTTTTAAAACTTCACACAGTGAAGAATGTCACCTTAAATGTCATACTTGAAATTAACAATACATGTTGGGTTTCTAGACTGTATTACAGACTTTTGTTGAAATCCTTGTAATCAAGTCTTGATGCATGGTCTGTGAGGGAACTGATGCTGACTTTTGTATTTGGTACTGACTGCCTTTTGCTCCTGTAGCTGTTTCCCATACTTTGTTGATATATAAATATTTCACTGACTAGTGATTTTTTGCTCTACCACACAGAACAAAAACAAATCAGTGAAAGAAACTAAAAACAGCAGTAAAAAAGCCCTTGGTTGGAGGAGTGGGGGTGAAACCACTTATTTTTGTTTCTGGTCTTGAGATGGAAAAAAGTAATAAGTGGGTTATCCAGAGTTAAAGTGAGATTGTATCCTTATTCCTTTCTTAGAGCAGTGAAAACTGTGATGTGTTAGAGGTATTGCCACCTCAGTGTGTGATACTCCTTCTTCTCCCATAGGGGCTGCGGATTGTTTTTTCAGATGCTTCCAGGCTCATCTTTAGAATGAGCGCTTCTAGCCATGTGAGAGCTACCCTCCGGATCTATGCAGAGAGTTATGAGAAGGATCCTAGCCAACACAATAAGGAACCACAGGTAATGTAATAACATTGTAAGAAAACCTGCAAGAATAGACTGTTTACAATTGTATTAAAAATCAGGCTCCAGTGGATGCCTTTAGAAGCCTGAACAGCACATGTGTTGTTTTTGTTTTTTTTTTAACCAAGTATGAAAGGTAGAATGTTCAGAATATTATACCAAAACTGCTAAGTGGTTAGGAAGCATTAGCAGGCCTACTATGTTTAGTTTGGGAAAGCTGCTTCTTGATCTCGGGAGAGAAATATCAGGAATACAATGAGAAATTGAGGAGTTTCCAGTAGTTGTATTGAAGCATATTCCAACCGTAAGTGGATATTTTGGAAATCTGTATCATCAGTTCAGTGAAGATCATCAATTCAATGAGGAGCACTGAAGCAGAACGTTGAAGGATCAAGAGAAAAGAAATAGGTTCATACATTCATTCATTCAGTCAGTCTGGGCAACCGAAGAAAACCACCACATCCTGAGAAAGCCAATTTTTTGTTTAAATTACAGATATTCGTGGTTAAGTCAAATGCCAGAAAGACAGTATCATCTATAGTATCAGGTGTTGCCTTAAATTTGGAGGGTATATTGGCTTTATTCATTGGCCTCAACCCTGCCTGGTCACTGTGGACCTGCTTGCCACTTATTGGACCCAAACTGTGCAGTGACTCCTCTGTTTGACCTTGGACCTGCCCCATTGCCATGAGCTTGCCTGTTGATCTCAACTGTTCATTGAAACTGCAATTTCTGGGTCTTTTATGCTTCTGTGGGACTGTTGACTTTTTGAGGTAGGACTAGCAGTTTTAGTACATATTTGTGTAAGGCCTGAGATGCCTGAATGCTGGGAAAAAAATATATATTTTTTTCCACTCAGGTTTTTAAAGAACAATATTTTAAAAATTAATAAATTTGGGGGCAGATTTTCTAGGGATCATTTAGTGAAGGCTTTTCAGGGTTGCCTTGCAGTGCAAGCTCAATTAGGAATTAGGGATGCCTGAGTCTGAACAGTGTAGGGATTCCTTGTAAGGGAAAGGCTCGCAGCTATCTGAGAATTATCTCACATCATAACCAGACTCCTTCCTAGGAAAATAAAAGTTTGAGAGCAGATTTCAGTGAAATCCAGCAGAGACCTAAAACAATTTATAATACAAATTGTAGTTCCACCTCTCAGATTAGTTCCACTGAAACACTGTCATGCTGTGAAATAAACAAAAGAGGACTAAGTATTTCTCCTGGAAGAGTGGATAAGCATTTAGTTTGCAAGACTTTAAAACTGTTTTTAAAGTCTCATGTATTTATGAATGCAGTACAGATGCAAAGTTTCTCCGAACATGAAATCCTTTTGAACCATGCATTGGGTTTTTTTTGCTAGATTTCTACCATAGATTTAATGAGTTTCTTCTATGTTACTCAACAATTGTCTAGCAGATATTCCAGAAATTTTGCTACCTGATTTTCTGCAGATATAATATATTGATTTTCTTCACTCTTTCTTGAAGTATCATAGAATCACTAAGGTTGGAAAGACCTCTAAGGTCATCTACTCCAACCATCCAGCTATCACCAGTATTTCCCCATTAAACCACATCCCTCAGTATAACATTCTAAATGTTTCTTGAACACCTCCAGGGGCAGTGACTCCACCACCTCCCTGGGCAGTCTATTCGAGTGCTTGACCACTCTTTTAGAGAAGCTATTTTTCCCAATATTCAACCTGAACCTCCCCTGGAACTACTTGAGGTCATTCCCTCTGCTCTTATTGCTAGTTGCATGAGAGAAGAGACTGACCCCCACCTCACCACAGCCTCCTTTCAGGTAGCTGTGGAGAGCAGTAAGGTCTCCTCTGAGCCTCTTCTCTAAACTGAACTATCCCAGTTCCCTCATAAGGCTTGTGCTCCAGATCCCTCACCAGCATTCAGGTGAGAACAGTGAGAGACCTACTACTCCACCTGGACTGTCACAAGTCCATGGAGCCAGGTGGGTATCCCATGTTTATGGTATACTTTCTGTATCATAAAACAGAAGAAAATTATTTGATGCTAAGACACTCAACGCTTAGTTTCTTCTGCATACTGGACCATCTTTTTAAGTACCTTCTTTTGATTGTTTACATATACAGCCGGAAGTTGAGTGCTTTTGCATTGCCCCATTTCTGCCTGATGACAATACCATTTCATTCTACTTCTGTGGATAAGCATAACTATTCAGTTTTTGTTTTAGTACAACAAACAAGCAAATTAATGAAAATCTTCAAAAATCTACAGAGGAATGAAGAAAATCTTAAAATGAAAGAATAGGGATAGAAATCAAGTTTTGTTCCATCAGTCATTTTCAGGTTTGTGTTAATGTTCTGGGCTGTATCCATAGTCACTGTATTTAGAACCACATGTATCTGTTGAATGGCAGTGGAGTTAGGAGGTTTTTCAAACTGAAACCTCTGTGATTTTTTTGTATTTTGCCCTCATGTGATTCTAATGTTTCAGTCTCAAGTTTGTTTTGGTTCTCTGATCTTACCACCAGACAATTATCTGTCAAGCTCAAGCACAAGTCTTTTCTTCTTGTTTTTGTAAATTGATCTTACAGATGTCCTTCAGATTTAGAGTGGCTGTCCACAGAGTGTGGCTGAAACTATTCCCTTAAGGAGCATAAGTTGTTCTCTGAATAGGGATGAAATCATCTATGTTCAGTAGAGCTGCACCATCCTGATTGAGTTTGTTTTTCTTCATAAACTTTATAACTTAAAAAATCAAATATTGGGAGTTTGGGAAAACTTCCAAAGAGAAAGAAACCTCTTCTGTTAACTTTTTGTCAATTCTTATTATGAAGTGGGATATGAATTCTGCCATAAAATCAACAAAGTATTTGCTTAATTTTTATAACAACTTGGTATTGTTGCTTCTTCAGCCAAGTATAACAATCGTGTAGTGAAATGTCAGAAGGCTGTTCTTAAAAAACTTTTAAGAACGTATATTCTTTTCTCTGTGTTTATTCTCCTAGTAAAGGCAAGGACTCTAGCTAACTACCAAGCATTTTACGTGAATTGCTGGAATTTGCACTTGGAATAGGAACAGACTATGGTTATTCTACTCTGTGTATAGAATCAGCAGCAATAAACAGAAATGCTTGTCATGTAACAGCATTTCCTTGTAGTTACATATACATTATATATAACTAGTCAGTCTTAGCATTGTTTGCCTTTGTTTTTCCTTCACTGTGGCTGTTCATCATTTGCAGTATCTATCATCCAAATCTATCATCATGCACAGTGAAACAGTGATTGTTGCTTAAGAAACTCGAGTAGATTACAAGCAATACTTGTCCAGAAAACAATCTAAACAAAGACATGCAACTATTCTCTGTATCATCAGGGATCAACCGCTTGGAGAGCTCTAGTTGTAGGACCTATTTTGATTTGATAGCCAGCAGAAAACCTAATGCACTTCGAAGTACTATGGGGGTTCCTCGGACTTGTGCCCTTAATTTTGGAACCATTGAAATGAATGGTGCTTGAGTGAGCTCTCTTCATACCTTATTGTACATCAGTTCTATGTATATCTGCATGGATCATAGAGGAAAAGGTGATTTTCAGGTCTTAATTGTTTGTTTTCCATCCTAAGTCTTTCTGTAAAAGTAGTCTTATAAGTAGAGAGAAAAAAGACTCTTCAGGAACTTTTCTTCCAATTTGTATGTTGGCCAGACAGTAGCTATTAATGAATAGAAAGGTCTCTCAAATCTTAATTACTATCTTATTTTAGTAGCATCTTAATATAATTAATTGGCTAATACTTTCCAGATAGAACAAATAAATTATAGCTAACTGGCCAATTGGTCAACAACATTAAAATTCAAGAGAAAGTAGTAAAATATGCTAATAACTAGAAGTCCAAGGCCACTGATAAATGTGAATAGCAGTGACTACTAACCACTCTATAGTCAGTTGAAATAAATGGGCAGAAGCAACTTCGTGATGACTTGGGAGCTTAAGGATATTTACTGTCTTTCCATGACTAATTCAGTTCTTCCTAATGAGGAGCGATTAATGATAAATGACTGTCATGTCCTATGCAAAGAACATTATTGCTGTGAGCAGTCTTAAATCACAGTGTATAGTGGTGTTGCTGTCTGCTTCTATGCGGGCTTGCGGGCTTAAACAAAGTATTTGAAACGATGCCCAGCTCTTTTCTACAACTGGAACATTCCTCTTAAAAAGGGAGCAGCAAATTTGCTGCTTCTTATTGTTGCACCTTCTAATGATGCACCTCATTGCTGTGTATTACTGAGAAAGTTGCTTTCCAGATAGCTTGGAAGACATTCTTAAAAAATGACGTATTTGGCTTCTAACATCCAAGCAGGCATCTGGTGAGCAACTTCAGGAAGTTATTGCTTTATAACAAACAACAAACTTCTGTGTAAAGTTTTAGACTTTGTGCTCAGAAATTGATCTTTGTATATATTTAATAGAATTGTTTGGCTGTGCTAAATCAAAACACAGATTGAAAATCTAGAGATGATAGGTTGAATAGGCCCAAAGTAGTAAAACAAGATTTTTTTGACCTTTCAATTCTTTTATAGCTTCGTTTTATAGATCAACTTACTCCCTGTTTATGGATTGCAGCAGATGGTTCCTATCTGCCTGTCCCTTGTCGAGCCACCTGGACACATTATTGAACTTGGATAAGATTCAAGCATGAAGATTCATGTACAAAGATCAAAAATGAAATGATTCATTATGCAGAGTTGTTTTTAATTGTCTCATTTATAAAAATGGTGTTCCCTTCAATCACATGGTTCTACTGCTGTTGCAGGCTAAATACTCTGGGAGTGGTGTAGTGCATAATCTGAATTACTCTGAGTATGAACTAATCAGCTCTGTTTACAATATTTTATCATTCATTATCTGAATTGCACTAGAGATAAATAGGTGTTGTAGACCCTTCAGTCTGTATGATACAGTGAATCACAAATGAAGCAATGGCTTTTGCTGAAGATTGATAGGTGTTTGTTAGCTAAAG